TAATTTTTGGCCTGTAGTCTGCCAATTTGTGACGATCGTCATTATATCAGACACTCATTATATGCTTTGACCCAAATTATAATGGCCAGTTTAGAAATGAGTTCTTCAAACATTCATTATCGTCAAGTTTGAGGATATGCATTCTTGGAAAGTAGTAAATTAAACATGAAAGAAAGAAAGCACTTTTTTGGATAATATAATCTCAAATAAGTGACGAAATAAACCTTAATATAATGAATGAGTAGATGTGTTTCAATTAGGTAGCAATAAGTTATGAGCTTCATGCACAGGAAGGCGTATTTCAATTCTCTAAGTAGTTAAAAATTCCATTGTGCTTCTAATTACCTATTCAATTTCTTGAATATCAAAGTGAAATTAACATTACAAATAATCAAGGTTAAAATATAATTAATGCAAGTGTGATTTAGTTATAATTAAACTAATTACACAGATATGTAGTATAATAAGGGACTTGCAGACCATTATTTGGATGTAAATTTATTCTTCCTTTCAAGAACAGTTATTTGAATTTCATTTTCCAATTATTTTACAAATGATGAAATGGAATTATAAAGGAGAGAGTCAGTCTTCCAGGGATGAAAAAAATAAACGTTATTTTTTTATTCCTTTTTAAGTTCTGATTCTTTTGTTCATATGTACTTACAAACAGAGAAGTTAGAGAGAAAAAAGTTTTTAAAAAAATCCACCACAATCAAAATATCTTACTTCTTACTTCTATGATTGTAGGGAAAAAATCAACAAAACAATGCTTGAGAAAAAATCCAATTCCATACGGCATGATTTTCTTTTAGAATAAGCAGTGTATACAACTCTTCACATGTATAAGCCTCAAACACTTGTTCAACTAATGAATTAGTTCTATTTTCTGTTCTCAAATATAATTCATTTCTACTGTTGAGTTTCATCTATTGACATAGATTAGCCAAAGAATAATTGCATTTTCTGCCCACAGACTGCAATAGATACAGCATGCAGCTTTGGGAGCAAGATGGATATGCCTTCAGGTCTACAGCTTTCCTCATATAAGTTAGGAAAAGAAAATATTTCTTACATGACACTTGCGCACCTACTTCTGGACATGGTAGATTTTATGTGGAATATCACTGAACCTTCATTTAAATACCTGAGTTATTATTATTTCTAGTGTATTGATGAGGAAATAAATAGAGAAGAATGGGAAGAGGAAAGAAAAGGGAAATATTAAAAGGTAAAAGGGATAACTGAGCACAAAATAACATTTGTGATATATTCTAATTCTAACAGAATTACATCTGAATGATATAAAAAAACAAAGAGAACCTAATTTGTCACTTTCTGATGATGGCTGGAAACCAATTGATTATCATGACAATTGGGTAAATAAAAAGAAAAGAATTAAGCATTTTATCTCTCCTTTCCAGTATGAACTGTACCTCTGGGTAAACAAAAGATAGTAAAAGCATCTCCTTATAAAATTATTCCAGCTAGTAAATGAAACAAAAAGATAATAGTTAACATATCACCAGTTCGTAATGGATTAATGCACCTAAGCATTAAACATCAAAACTGCTAACATCAAAAAAAAAAAAAAGAAAGAAAGAAAAAGAAAACAGTAAAGACCAGATTATGATGCACCTCTCGATGAAAGAAAACAACATCATCTCTTGCTTAGTCTGCCAAAGGACTGAACCTGAGCATGATTAAACCTCTGGATCCAGATGAAATTGCAAGAAATAAAAAGGACAGAGAAATATGGTAAACTTCATCATTAATGTGCAGTCCCCAAAGTCTGTAGGCAACTCTCCAAGTCCAAAGGCCCAGGTTCTTCAATAAAGAGGTTAGAAAGAAATGAAAAGGATGGAGGGGCCTGAAGATTGAGAAGCCGAAAGGTCATATCAAGTTTTTACAGGTGAGCAAGATTAAACTATGATGTCTAGGAATACATTCCTGAGTCACAGAACCATGAAGAATCATTTGGCTGGAAGGAGTTGTGGTTGGGATGGAACACATAGAAGGGTTTACAGGTCAGCTGTCAAAGTTCTATTTCTTGTCCTTAGTTTAGTT